ACCTTGCTGGTGGTCTTAATTCTCAATAGATGGGATTAACATGTGCCACAGCAAACTTGTGAAGATAAGAGGGCAGATTATAGGCTGGGCAGTGGTGATGGTGCACGTCTTTGATCCCAATCCTCTGGAGGCAGAGGCAGGCAGTTCTCTGAGTTTGAGACCAGCACGGTCTACAAAGTGAGAGAGCTGTTACACAGAGAAAACCTATCTAAAAAAACAAACAGCCCCCCCAAACAAAGAAAAAAAGAGCACCAACTGTGGGAATTGTTTCTGTCCTTCAAACATTTGGGTGCCAGGGATCAAATTCAGGTCACTGGGCTTAGCCAAAGGTACTGTTCGGGTGGATCCTCTGGCTTGCCCCTGTATGATCCAGAATGTCCTGTTCTTCCTCCTCCTCCTCCTCCTCCTCCTCCTCCTCCTCCTCCTCATCCTTCTCTCTCTCTCTCTCTCTCTCTCTCTCTCTCTCTCTCTCTCTCTCTCTTTCTCTCTCTCTCTCTCCAAACCCCACCTATCCAGAGAGTCTCTAAACAAAGGGAAGGCACCAGAAGCCCCCTTCTGCACTCTTGGCAGCTACTGCAGCTTGCTCCCCTGAAGTTGTCAGCCACCCAAGTCCCCACCCAAGTGCTCAGCTTTTGACTATACTTGGGCACAAACTCAGCTTGTGGCGGACACATCATCGCCCTTCACATGCAGTCTATAAAACTTTCCTGCACACCTGGCTTGGGTGTGCTGCTTCTCCAGCCCTGATCTCTGGGACCAGAGAACTTTCGGGAGTTGCTTCGCTCAATATGTCTGTTACGCTTTTTCAGTTCTGCTTGATGTGGCTTACTGAGCCAGTGGGAAAACTTATTATGGGGGTGGGGCAGAAAACCTATTAGGTACCTTGACCTGCTGAGCTATTTTACTTGCCTTCAGTGAATTTTTTGGACCATGCTGTGGATCAAATTCTCAATTCTAGAAAAATACGACTAAGTACTCCATGATGATATAATTATTAGAATTGATGAAACAGGAATGTAGCTCAGTTGGTGACATGCTTGCTAAACTGTACCAAATCTTGGGATTGAACCCCTGGATCGCACAACCAGACATGGTGGTGTCTCCTATAATCCCAGCACTAGGGAGGCAGAATAGGAGGATCAAGTTCAAGGTCTTCCTTGGTTATGCTAAGTCTCAAACCCTGGGACAAATGGCAGCATCCCTTAGTCCCTGCCTGTTACAGGATATGGGTAGCATACCCTGTGGCCAGAGGCTCTTCTCTACAATACAGCCGTTTTTGTTACCCGTCCTTTTTGACCTTTTGCCCCCCTCTGGCTGCTGCACCTGGTTGCCTCTCTTACATCTTCCTTCCCCTCCCCCTCTCCTCACATGGCCCAGCACCATGTCCACTCTGGACTCTCCCAGATGTCTCTGCCTCTGATATGCTGTCCTTTTTATCTACAATAAGCGTTCTCCTCCACCATACCTAGGATCAGTCATGGCCTTTCCCCTTTGATTTCCTTTTCTCATTCAGGTCACATAATATGTTTGAAGTCAGCTTGGATACATGAGACCTTAACTCAACTTTTTCTTATTTCTTTCTTTCTTTCTTTCTTTCTTTCTTTCTTTCTTTCTTTCTTTCTTTCTTTCTTTCTTTCTTTCTTTCTTTATTTTGGAGCTGAGGATCGAACCCAGAGCCTTGTGCTTGCTAGATGAGTGCTCTACCACTGAGCTAAATCCCCAACCCCTCAATTTTTTCTTTAAAAATTGATGAAGTTACATTAAGCAGTACTATTATCTAAAATTGGAGTTCACTCTTCCTATTATACTCAGTATGAGTTTTGACCATGTTATAAACATTTATTTTGTTGTTTTGTGAAGCAGTGTATTATGTAGTCCAAGCTACCCTCAGACTATATGTAGCCTAGGCTGGTCTTGAACTCCTGATCTTCTTGGCTCCACCTTCTAAGTGTCTGGATTATAGGCATGCATCTATTTGATTAGCCTGTGGGCCTATCTGTGGGTTATTTTCTTGATTAATAATTGATTCAAGGGAGGAGCTTTGGGAAGTACCATCTCTGGGCAGGAGGCCTTGGGTTGTGTAATAAAGCAAGTTGTGCCAGCCATTGATAGCAACCAGTAAGCAGCAATCTTCTACAAGTATGAGGCAGAGAAAGACTAACTGAAAATAGTGTGGGGATTTGAAACTTCCCACCTGCAGTAACACACCTCCTCCAGTAAGACCACACCTCCTAATCCTTCCCAAACAGTTCTACCAATTGGGGACCCAATTTTCAAATATATGAGCCTATGGGGTCATTCTCATTCAAACAACCACACAGTCCTATTCTGTTCCTTGTCTGGTCCCGGGGAATTTCTGTACTTCTTTCTTCTACCTTTGCAGCCAAAAGGGCAAACTAGTATTTGCCCTCAGCTACCATGCAGCTCTCTATTCCTGTAATAAGGTCCATTCCACTATGGCTCTGCTCTCCTGACTTGATGCTCTCCTTAGAATGAACTAAGGCTATTGGCTTCTCATTTATTCTTTGGAACAAAAGCTTCTAAGTCTAGACCTGCCTAACTTGTGGAGTAGGCAGCCCACCTTGACGCCTCCCTTCTGATTTGCAACTAGGGGTAATGAAAACGAATAGGGTTTGTTCTTAATGCAGGACACCCTTTGAAATCAAGTATGTTCCCTACATCTAAATAAGGACAAGGACTGCTGAGGGTGTAGCTCATTTGCTTAAGCATCTGCCTGGCATGTAAGGCCCTGGGTTGATCTCCAGTAGTGTGTGTGTGTGTGTGTGTGTGTGTGTGTGTGTGTGTGTGTGTGTGGTGGGGCACAACAATGACAATTGTGTCTACAGGGATCACAGTGCAGAGTCAGGTATCTAGAAAAAGACTGACTGCTATCCTTTGTCTGCTGGACAGAGAGGTAGCTTATGCTCATGACTTGTGCCTACCATATGAGGCTGCAGATACAGCCCAGTTTGCCTAACACGTGTAGGGTCCTGGGTGTTATCCTAACTATTGTGAGCTTTGGGCCACAATAAATCAGATGCTGATTTCAGAACCCATAGGAAGTAAAGCTGAGAGTGAAAAGGCAGGTGAAGGTGGCTTGACAATATGTGCCAGTTGGAAAAGAACTGATCTGAAACCAGATACTAATAGTAGCAGTGAAGGAGATATTCTGAGCAGGACTGAGGTGGCTTTTGAATGTGGTGGCACTTTTTTGTCTTGTTCCCATCCTTCATAAAAGACATGCTTTGTCACAGATGCAAGAGGACAAACCTGGAAGGTCCATGGTACACATTTTTCAGACTGAGTTCGTAGGAACCCTAGGGACTTCTCAGAATTGGAAGGACTCTGCCCTGTCATGTCTCTCAAATCACAACATATCTCTTTTTATCTACTTTTTTTTTTTTTTTTTTTTTTTTGGTTTTTCGAGACAGGGTTTCTCTGTGTAGCTTTGCGCCTTTCCTGGAACTCACTTGGTAGCCCAGGCTGGCCTCGAACTCACAGAGATCTGCCTGGCTCTGCCTCCCAAGTGCTGGGATTAAAGGCGTGCGCCACCACCGCCCGGCCTCTTCTTTATCTACTTATGCACAAAATTTTACTGGAAAAAATTCTGTGCAAAAGTAGTATCAATACAATTTAAAGGTCATAGATGAAGCAAAAACATAATTATGAAAATAGATGAGGGAACTTCCCAGGGTCATAGTATTCTATTCCTTGAGGCCAGATCCAGAAGCCCTCCATGAAGGCATGGCTTAAAGGCAGTGATAAAATGGCCAAGAGGACTCCTTGGTCATATAGGAGACTAATAGGTTTTCTGCCTCTGATAATTTTCTCTGCCTACACAGTGAGCCAGCTCAAGCTGAGTTGAAAAAGTATAACGGCAGGTATCTGGAGCAAAGCAACTCCTGGGCAGGATCACTGGTCTCAGAGAATGAAGCCAAAGAAGTCATGCACCTGAGCTAAGTCAGGGAGATTTAATAGACTGTAGATGAGGGGTAATGACATGTCCACCACAAGTTGGGTTTGTGTCCAAGTATGGTCAAAAGCTGATTTGTTAGGCAGGAACTTGGGTGGCTGGTGGCATGGAGGGGGCATTTCAAGAGTTGCCAAGAACGTGGAACTGGGCTTTTTGGTGCCTTCCTTTGTTCAGAGACTCTGAGTGGGCAGGGTTTGGAGAGAGAGAGACAGGAAAGGGGTTCCCCGGACTTTGCAGAGGCAAGCCGGAGGATCCAACCAACCAGAGGCACACAATGTGAACCTACTCTTAGAAAAATGAATGACTCCTAGTCCATGCCTGCAGACCCAGAGAGGAAGAGGAGCCCAGCTCCTCTGCTGCAGTCCTCAGTCTTCTGTGTTCCCCTCTCATTTGGGAAGGGGTCAGGATACAGTCTCCTCTTCTGTTTTTTTGTTGTTTTTGTTTTTGTTTTTTCAAGACAGGGTTTCTCTGTAGCTTTGGAGCCTTTCCTGGAACTCCCTTTGTAGCCCAGGCTGGTCTCGAACTTATGGAGCGCCTGCCTCTACCTCCCGAGTGCTGGGATTAAAGGTGTGCGCCACCACCGTCCCAGTCTCCTCTTATTTTTTTCCTTCATTGATGCTGTGGATGGAACACATTGACATCCTGGTCCAATGATCTAACACTGAGCTACACTCCAGCATAGCGTTTACCTAAATTGTTCTGGTAAACAGAATTAAATCTCAGGAGTCAGAAATTGAGATAAAAACTTGATAAATCCAAGGAACAGTGCTGGAGCGATCGGCTGACCCTATTCTCCATGTTTTCCCCATCCAAAAGTCCCAGAAAATCTCCTCCCAGTCCCTTCTCTTTTCCTGTTCCTCTCTCCAATTTCTCTAGTCTTCCAACAACTCTATGGCTAATCCCAGTCAGCCAATTGCTGACTAAGTCCTTGAGTCAAGGTGGCTTTATTGGCACAGTGGGGTTGCAGTGCAAGCAATTCTCTCACAGCACTCCAGCCCTAGTAATCATCTTTTTGTTTTTGTTTTTAAACTATATTGAACACTTTACAAATTTGTGTGTCATCCTTAAGTAGGCACTATGCTAATCTCTGTACCGTTCCAATTCTAGTATATGTGCTGCCAAAGTAAGCACCAATAGCCCTCTTTTTTCTTCCTCCCCCCCCCCTTTTTGAGAGAGGGTCTCACCATGTAGCTCTGGCTGACCTGGAACTCACTATGTAGACCTGGCTGGCCTTGAACTCACAAGAGATCCACCTGACTCTGCCTCTGCCTCACAAGTACTGGGATTAAAGACATGCAGCACCCCACCTGGTTAGCCCTCTTTTTAAAGGATGGTATGACTTCTCAGTTCCTGGATTGTGGGCCCTTGAAACAAGGCCAGTAGAGTACACAATGTGCTACATCCTTCCTACCTCAAGGTACAAAGGGTATGTGTTGAGCCTGAGAATTATGAGAGAAAGACTAGTTTCACAATTTTTGAGCCAAATTTGAAACAAGCTTTAATTAAATACTGGCCAGGATGATGGGCTCTGGCCAGGACCATTCCAGGGTTCCCAGGAAATGGTGACTACTTACATTTTGTTGAGGCTTATGAAGGCATAGTATAATATATATTTCCCATCTGGTCCAATCAGGGACAAGCTTACATCCTGACATATTTCCTACCATGTACCTCCTACCTACCCACATGTCATTAAGCACACCCAGGACAGATGGTATCAGTGCGGATGGGTCAAACAAACATAGGGTAGATAGAAACTTGTTCTTTTCTTTTTCTTTTGGTTTTTGGAGACAGGGTTTCTCTGTGTAGTTTTGGTGCCTGTCCTGGAACTCACTCTGTAGCCCAGGCTGGCCTGGAACTCACAGAGATCCGCCTGGCTCTGCCTCCCGGGTGCTGGGATTAAAGGCGTGCGCCACCACTGCCCAGCTTGTTAGTTGCCATCACAGCCCGGCAGGAACTTGTTAACTGTCTTAATTGCAAACAGATCCCTTGACCTGCAAGGCACATTTTTCCTGTTTTGGTCTCCCATTACCTTGCAAGGCGTATTGTTCTTGTTCCTGTTTTGATCTCACATATAGAGCTAGGTACAGAGCAGGGGCTCATGAATCCTACATTGAAACATGATTTTATTCATTTAAAAATGTACTTTATTTATAGTTATGTATACGCATCAGTCACATGTCTATAAGTACTGATGGAGGCCAGAAGACGACACTGGATCCCCTGGAGTTTTTGTTGCAGGTGGTTGTGAACTGCCTTGTGTGGGTACTAGAAACTGAACTCAGGTCCTCTGAAAGAGCAGCAAGCACTCCACTACTTGAGCTTTCTCTGCAGCCTTTATCAAAAAAAAAATTTTTTTTTCAAGACATGGTTTCTATGTAGCCCTGCTGTCCTGGAATTCTCTGTAGATCAGGCTGACCTTGAACTCACAGATCTGCCTGCTCTGCCTCCGGAGTGCTGGGATTAAAGGCATGTGCCACCACCACCCGGCTTGTTAGTTGCTTTTAAAAACATGGTTTCTGTCAGTGGCTCTCATCGTAAAAACTGTGGCCTCCACAACAGTGACTGCCTTTCCACCCTTTATAAATTGAGTGTTCTCTTTCATCCTGTGTTCTCCTCTGGTTGGCTCTTCAGGAGGTGAGTCTCTACATTTAGAAGACCATGGGCACTGAGCACTCATTTTTTTCTGCTGCCATTGTTTTTCCTTTGAGTAGTCTAATTTCTTTCTTTCTTTCTTTCTTTTTTCTTTTTTCTTTTTTTTTTTTTTTTGGTTTCTTGAGACAGGATTTCTCTGTGTAGCTTTGTGCCTTTCCTGGAACTCGCTTTGTAGTCCAGGCTGGCCTCGAACTCACAGAGATCTGCCTGGCTCTGCCTCCCGAGTGCTGGGATTAAAGGCGTCGCCACCAACGCCCGGCTTGAGTAGTCTAATTTCTTTATTTTTTTCCCTCTTTCATCCCCACCCCGTCTTCTTCAACAGGGTCTCCTGTAGTTCAGACTAGCCCGAGGTTTTAGGAGTAGTCATGTCCTCCCTTTTATTTTTATTTTTTTCCACTCTAGGTTGACCTTGAATTCCTAATCCTCCTGCCTCCATCTTCCAAGTGCTGGAATTATAGACATATGCTATCATCTCCAGCAGGGCTGCTTTTCAATGTAGCAAAATATGGTTGCCCATTCTTGCCCAGGAAGCAGACAAAACAAATTGATGATCCTATATGGATTTCATTAAAGGGATAAAGTGGTTCTGGGTCAAAGGTTTAAACTTCCCTTTCCCATGGAATAAATGCTAACAATCGGGATTCTTATATGTATTCAGTTTAGGGAAGGTCCCCCAAAGGAGTCTCAAGAGTCAGGCACACAGCTAAGGACCAAAATCCCAAGCTCCCATCAGGTAGTGATGAAGCCTGAGAAACTGTCCTCAAACCCAGGTCTCTGACAGATCCCCTCACCCACTTCAAACTGAGGCTGGTCCAATGAGTTCTTTCAGGCTCCACATTCCTCTCTTTGGTCCAAAGGCTGTTTTCTGAACTCCTCCCTTTCATTAAGTCATATCCAATTAGTCCCTGGTTGTCCTAGTCCTTGGCCCTGTGTAGAGGGAGTCAGCTTTGTGACTTCACAAAAATCTCTTGTGACAAGTCTGAACCCAGTGATCAGGAGTTGGGCAGAAGGGGCTCCCTTCAGGAACATCATGTGACTTTTCACAGAGCTACACCCCCACCTATTAGGGAATGAAGAAGAGCTGTCCCTTCGGTAAGAGCCCAGGATAACCTCTGCACCTAGCAATGTCTCTCCTCGATGGCTTTGGCTTCCAGGCCCAAGTGGGTACTCCAGGCTGTATTTGGCAATATCTTAGGCCCAGGTTCATCATCCAGACTTGTGGAGAGATAGGGTGACGGTAGTGGTGTCTGAATTGGGCAGGGGAGGAAGGGGGAGATCAGGTCAGACCAGGATCTTCTCATTAGACATGGCTGTTCTTTTGAAATGAAAGAACTGATGGTGTGAATTTTCCATAGGCTCTGCCCAATCACTCCCTAGAGCATTTCCCAATGAGTCAGACCAGAGAGTCTCTGCATTCTGTAGAAATCTTATAGCTATAAACTAATAGGTTTTTCTGCCCCCCCAACCCCCGTCAATAATAAGTTTTTTCTGCCAACACAGTAAGCCAGATCAAGCTGAGTTGAAAAAGTATAACATTTGAGCAGAGCACCTCCTCGACGGGTCCTCTGGTCCCAGAGATCGAGACAAATCACACCCCCAAACGAAAGCAGGCAGACTTTATAGGTTTTATATATAGGTGAGGGGTGATGACGGATCTGCCACAAGCTGAGTTTGTGCCAATGTATGTATGGTCAAAAACTGATTGGTTAGGCAAAAAAGAACAAAAACACAAAAACACAACAAAACAAACAAAAAAAACCAAAATCCTGCACCCCGTCTTCCAAGTCTGCTGGAGCATGGCCTCTGGAATGGGCAAAACTCCAGCAGTCAGAAGCGTTGGGGATTCACTGGGGGAGGGGGGATCAAATGAGATGGAATGGGGATGGGGGAGGACCTGGAGGACATTCGGCTCCCTTCATGCTTAAGTTCCTGCCTTGTGTGGGGCAAGTACACTGTGAAGAGTAGTGCATGGTATATTATCTCTGGCCATCCTCTCTGGCCTCTACTGATAACAACATCACTGTTCTGCCAGCAAATCCCAGGGAAGGAGGTAAGTGTGCTTTGAGCAAGGATTTGAAACATAGACAGCAGCTCAACAGGAAGTCAGTATGAATGGGTTGGTTTGTGGAAAGAGTGAACATGTCTCCTTTTACATCCAAGAGACTCCCCGTCCTTTACTATCCTTCAACTTCGATTAGAGGTGTGGCTTTCAATGGTGAGAAAGTTCTCTGCTAGGACAAAGAATGGAGAAACAGATCGAGAAGTGGCTATTCTACCTTGCTAGGTATGGTCCCGTAGTCCCAGAACTCTGGGGATAGAGGCAAGAGGATCAGGAGTTCAGGGTCATCCTTGGCTATCTATTTAGAACAAGTTCAAGCCTAGTCTGGGTGGCTATGTGAAATCCTGTTTCAAACTCCTCTTTCTCTTCAAAAGAAAGAGGCTATTCTATTTTTTCAGGGCAGCTGAAAATATGCTCTAGGATTATTCTGATATAAAGCTCATTTTTCTTATGTGGAAAGCCTGTACTCCACTGTCATCATCAAAACTCAAGAAAAATGAAGTAGCCTAAAGCCCCAGAGCTAGTACAAAGGAGCAACAGTGTTTTAGCTTTTCTATTGTGAGAAAAAGTAACAGGGAGGAAAGGGTTTATTTCACCTTACAGCTTATAGGTCTAGCACTGAGGGCTGCCAGGGTAAGAAATCGGGTAGGAACCTGGAAACAAGAATACTAGCAGAGGCCATGGAGAAACACTGTTTACCGGCTTGCTCTCTCACGACTTGGTTATAGCAGCCAGGACCACCAGCCCAGGGGTAGCACCACTCACAATGGGTTAGGCCCTCCAGTGTCAAGCAATAATTAAGAAAATGCACTACAGATTTGTCTACTGGACAATTTTGTGTGAGTGAGTGTGTGTGTGTTTTCGAGTGTTCTCTGTGTAGCTTTGGTGCTGTCTTGGATCTTGCTCTGTAGAGCAGGCTGGGCTTGAACTCACAGAGACCAACCTGGCTCTGTCTCCCGAGTGCTGGGATTAAAAGTGTGCGCCACCACTGCCCAGCCTTGATCAATTTTATTATAGTCATTTTCTCAATGGAGAGTCCCTCTTTCCAAATGACTAGTTGTGTCAGGCTGACATAAAACTAGCCAGCACAAGCAGTATTAGGCCTGGTCTGTTTGCCTCCAAATCTGAACTGAACCATGGACCCATCTACTTCTTCAAATTCTACTAGAATAAAATAAATTGTTTCTTTATCTCTAACCATCAGTGACACAGAAGGAGTCACAGACAGGGTTTGAGCCTTGTTATTAATCAAGTTTTTGAAAAGGGAGCCCAGACTCCTTGGTTTGTATAATCTGTTTTGTGACTGATTCTTGCTATATAGTCTACCCAGGCTGCTGTTCTGAAACTTCTCTATGTAGTTCACTGTAATCAGATGTTTCCTGTCCTGGCCACCTGGTCTCAAATAACAGGTTCAGAG